TGTTTATAGTTTGAATGTTTGTTTATTGTTTGCTGGTAAATGTCAAGCAGATGTTTTTTCTCCATAGTTTCATTTGTTGTGAGGTGTGATGAAGGGTTAGTTTGACAGTTACCATCATCATCATCATCATCTGAACAAGGAAAGCCTTTGGGAATGATCTGTGTTTGTGGCTGAATTTAAAATCCTCACAGACAGAAGTGTTTGTATATTTAGTTCCACAATGGTTCCACTTCTCATCCAAACTGAGCTTATCAGCTGAGATTACAGGAGAAAACCTAATTATTTTTAGGTTTTGGAGGATGTTGATGGACTGGAGTGGGAGGAAACAGAACCTAAACATGAACACAAACCCTACAGTAGCTTCATGCTAACATGCAGATTGAGCACAAACTGTATTCAGTTTATTTTAAGCATTTGCACAGAGAGCTGGCGATTATTGGCTCATTCTGTCTGAAGATCATTACCTATAAGATAAACTATAAACCAACCAGGAGCTGCTGATTTATTGTGAGGATAAAAATGAAGAAGAGAACAGTTTAATGTTTGTGATGTAACACAATTCTGCACATCTGAAGTCAGACTGGTGATTATTAATATTATTAAGTTTTGATTGTTACAAAGCTACTCCCACAGAATATCAGATTTATCTTCTCAGTTATGTTTGATTTAATGAGGAACAGATGTTTCCAGTAAATCCAGCTCAGCTCAGAGGCTGCCAGAGGAAACTTCCCCATTCCTCTGCACACCACACTGACACTCATCACTGTGCACCAAACAGAAGCAAGGTGAATTATGGGATGTGTCAAAGGTGTTGGACACACTGCAGGCAGGTTTGTGAACAAATGAGTCAACATTATGTAAAACTGCAGAGAAAGACAGTCTGGTGTGTTTCAGGCTCCTCTTTCCTTCAAAGCTCCAGGTCAACTTTCAGGCTTTTCACAGGAAGAAGATGTTTTTCTATCAATCAGAAGTCAGGAGACTATCATAAAAATATCTCTGGATTCTAGTTTTTTTCATCCAGAGTCAGGAAAAAATCCATTCAGTCCAAACTAAGTGTCTTGAAGCTGCATCATGTGAGTGAGCTGACTCTCAGACTCTACAGAATCAGGCTCTGCTGGAGGTGAGACAACAGGTGAGAAATGAGAAGACTGCCAGGATAAAGAACTTCTGACAGCTTCCATCTTAACAGCTGCCAATCAATCAGAGAGTTCCAGTAAAACATGCAGACAGTTATCCTGGCAGGTGAAGACACCTGAGGACATTTCTCTCATTGATTTATGATGTTTGAGCTGTGAGGTTCAGACCGTTACAGC